GTTTTATGCTGCATCTAACAGTATGTAGTTTGCTCAAATTGGCCACTTCGATTTCTGACCATTCCCTTGTTAAAAGAGTGAAAGGGGTAACTGAGATTCAAGGTAAACGCTGCTTACATGCCGAGTGGGACTGGGATGTGCATAGAAGGAGAAATAAGTGGCGCAGAGGTATAAATGAATAATTTCTCAATACTTTGGTTTTAAAATCACAGAGACCTTTTTGATTTACTAAACCTTCACGTCTCATTAATCGAATGGATTTTCGAAAGCTTGGTACATGCGAAATTGACGAAGACTGTTCTTCTTCTTAGCTCTCCTGTGAATTCACAAATAAATATTCTTTTCCAGCTGCAGCATCAGCTGATTTTATGCGATCACTTTGCGTTTCATTTTTGAAAGGAAGAGGACCTAGAAAAATGAAACGGTCTACAATTACTGGCAAAATCTTTCTCTATAACAAAACTCTAGACAATTAGGCGTCTTCATTCATTCTTTGCGCGGAATTTTCCTAACAAAAACATGTTTTAAGCTCAACCATGTATCCCGGAGTAGAGAGCGCTGGAAAAAAAAAGAAACGCTCTATGTCGAATCCCCGCTTTGTGAGCTTCTTAATGGTATATAATGCTTAGATGAAAGATCTTGTAGCTTTTTGAAAATGGGGTGGAGTATCTACTATTAGCCCGCTCCACCTCATCCCTCAATGGCTTGGCTTTCGTGGGTGGGAGCAAAACTTTTTTTGGGGCGGGGAAGCTTTGTGCATCAGTCATGTACACGAGGAATCTACGTAGACCGTTTTTTTCTAGCTGTTCTGCGAAGAGAAATATGAGGAATTATATCTAGCTATAATATCAGCTAATTTTGTGAATTATTTTGTGCTTTTTTTCGAGGCTTCACATGTGAGTGAAAAGCTCCATAATAAAGAAATCTAACTGCTTCCTTATTTTATATCATGCTCTTCAATGAAGGAAGATATAATATTCGATTTTTCTCAGCGAACATGCATCCATCATGGAGCAGACCAGACTTTGTACTCTTGCATAATTCTTTTCTGTTACATTATGTATTCATTAAGCAATGTTGTTTTTTTTAAATCAGACATCTTCTGGATTTTTAGATTTCTTTCGCTATCCAAACTAAACCAATCTGAGTGAGACAGAAAATCTCCCTCTCAGCAAACGCTCAGAGTGCAGTCACGCCATGACTGACTCAAAGCAGCAGTAGCTGGCGGTCCCATCCCAAGCAAAATGTGCCCCAGTTATCATAGGTGTTCTATTCTGCCAATATGTCTTGATGGTCTCAACCTCAGGTGAAGAGGGTCATCCAGATGCCGGCCCAATAGTGTAAAAGGGGTAGAGAAATTACTCGCAAAGGAATTGCTCTACCTCTCGCACCTATGCTTTGACTAGTTTAGAACCCGCCATCAGACGAGGTTTTTCCACTAAGGCTAGGTCTCCCATTCTCGCGGATTTTTCGCTTGGATCCAATCTTATGATCTCGCGCTTGTGCGAGGACGTGTCCAAGGCATCCATTCTCAGTACTTTTAAGTTGGGATGGAATCGCTGCATTACAGAGCATGTGTCTCAGGTTCGTTCCTAACTCAGCTTTTATTTTCCGTATTCAGTCGTATTCTCCGCCCTTTCTCTTATGATGAAGTTAAATCTGTAAAGGAATAAGCATCTCAGCATAAGTTCCAAGTTCTCTCTTCTTTGAACCTGGGAATTTTGATGTACTCGTTCTATGTTATTTGTGCCAGATCCAGGTTAGTACGGTGGTATCATTTATTGACCTTACGTTTCGACAAAGTCGTCGTCTTCGGAGGTCTGAAGTAGATTGCAGTCATTCATCTGCGAGATAAGACCGCCAAACGCAATCCCCAAACATCAGTCAGTCTGGATTTCGTCCCGAGGGCAACGTACTGAGTCACACGCTGGTATAGTAGAAACTGATATATGTTCCACCGCGGTTTAGTGAGTTAGTCAGTAGCCGCACAAATTAGACGGGCGACACTGAGCGTTGCTCAGTAGAATGATCCTTATATAAGTGCAGGCTTAGCTCACATATCGACAAGAATGGCAAGAGTTCGGTCGTCGATAAGTTTTCATTTTTGTTATTCATACTTGGGTTCTTGACAGAAATCCATGCTGCTTCCATAGTTTTTCGTGCTATAATCTCTGCCTCGTAGGATAAAATTGTGCAATTTACATCAAAATCACCGCCATTGTGTACTTCTATTCTATGCTTTCCCAACGGTGACAACGTACTCGCTCGCTTTGTATTCGCTAAATGCTCCTTGATTCTAACTTTAAACAATCTACCCGTTTCACCAATTAGTGCGCCACAGCTAATACATTCTAGTTGTTAGACGACCCCTACCTTCGCGCAATCGCCATTCTTCCCGTGCGTGCAAACGATGCAGTCTTCCGAAAGACACTCTACATCATACATTCTATTCCTAACTAGCTGCTTCTCAATGTTGTCATTCGAAATGTTTACGACTATGACTTCGTTTTGAAGTTGTGCTCGTATTATACATCGTTTAATTGCTGAGCTGATTGCATCGGAAACAAACGGTATGCATAGGGGTATTTTATTATCATTCTTACGTGGATGGCAGTTGCTCGCAAACTTTGAGGACTTATGGTAGTTATGTTGCGACAAGTAGCCTTTACTGTGCGCTATCTGCGTAGCTAAGGCTCTGGATTCGAGGCGCTCCTGCTCACCTGTACATACGCTCGTGGCAGTCCGGAACGTGTTGTGCACTACAGCTCGTTTTACTGCACTCGGATGCGCTGAGTCGGGTGTAACATAATGTTCTTCGAACTTTCCTTCGATACCACTTTATACGAATGGTTTAGCAGACAAGCGTATTTTGGTATTCAGAAAGGGAAGCCATCCATTGTCCGGAGTTTGTCGTGTAAGCTCGATATACTGGGACTGCTGATTCAATATCCTGAAACATTCGTCCATTTCGGACTGGGTCGACGTTATAACGCAGCAGTCATCGATGTATCGACAGTACATCAATGGTATAGTGTGGACCCCGGCCAGCTTCCCATATGTACCTCCGCGCCGCAAACGCAGTGCATGCCTTCAGTGCTCTTTTCGTCCCAGGACCTATTGGTTTCTATGCGTTCCTCTCTTTATTGAGTTTGTTTTTTTCTATAATCTCTTTCTTTCAGGGTTAAACGAACCACACCAGCTGATGACGACAAGTTTTTACGAGCCTCAAAAGTCTTGAGAGCTTCTGTCTCAAAAGCTCTCATTTTCTTCCGCAATGAGGATTTATAGTTTGAAGAGATTTCTTCAGGGTTTCTATCACAGACCAGACGTATCTATTCAATTGAATTTGTTTTGTATAGAAACGTATCTATCCGACTGAGTTTGTTTTGTCTAAATCTTTTAGTTGCTTTTCAATGCGGCACTGAAGCTTCAGCTTGTATAGTTACGCTCTCCACCTTATGCTTCTAGTTTTTCAATGATTGCAGAAGAGTAACGTTCCAAAAGTAATCCTCTTTCCGCTATTTCTACTTTTCATCCATCAGTGGTAGTTTCATACTAGTATGCATGAGAATGACAAAGAACCAAGTGTTAGTGGAGGTTGGAAGAGTTTTTTCTTCTGCTTAAGCTTTTCTGGAGGTGAGAATAGAGGGTTCCACTTCTTGTCTCACTCCTATCTTAACTTAGAGATGATTTTTCGTTCATATGGAATAAGAAGCGTCAACAGTGCGCGCGTTGCGTATGCGCTGCGGAGATACATATGGGAACCTGGCCGGGGTCCACACTATAGACGTGCCAATACTGGTTGCTCAATCTTGCTCATGAAACAGATCGCAAGGACTGGAGCTAATCGCTGACCCATCGCCAGTCCTATGTATCTTGCAACATGTTTTCTCTCAAACGGCTTTTCTGGTCTGCCATCGGGGTTTCCGCGCCTATACTGTTCTCCTCATTCTCTAAGGCCCCGGTCAGACTTCACGCGATTTGATCGTCGCGACTTAATCGCCGACATTTCCATTCATTTTCATTTCACATTCAAAAATTTCGGGCTGGAAAAGTATCACAACCGAATGCAAGTTGATCGGCATGAAATGATGTTGTAACAGTTGTCTCCTCGCGATTCAGTCGCGACGATCAAATCGCGTGAAGTCTGCCCGGGGCCTAATGCTACAGACACGCTGGATTGATGGGAACTCTATCATGTAGTCCCTCTTCTTTGATGAAAGAGTGATGATTTCTCTTCAAAATTTGGAACGACGAAGGTGGCGGGACAAGTAAATAATTTCATAAGAACCACTTAACATATTCGATATTAGAGACTCACACTGGGAAAACTGACTGCTCTCTGTGATTTAGTAAGCTGAAAACCCCAAAATTTCTCATTTTTCTCACTTCTCATCATTTCTCATTTTCTCAAAGAATTTTTTTTGAAACCTTGTTATTTCTAAAACTGCGAATTCCAGAAGCTTACGAACATTCAAACTATCAAGATCGGTCTCAAATGATATCGACTGGATTGACTGATTTTATGTATCAACTAGAGCACTTTCGGAAATCCCCTCCCCCCTCCCTCTCGGTCGTTAAAAAATAGTCATATCTTTTAAAGTGCCAAAAAATCTTTGTGAAGAATAGCAATGGTTGTTACATTATTACAGCTTTGATAAGATCGGTTGTTTTCTTGAAAATCACAAACAATGGCCAAAAAAACAGTGAGAAGAATTGACACAATAAGTCAAAGACAACTATTCAAAGATCTTGATAATTTGTTCTATCTCCTGACAATCGCACAAGGAAATAATTTATTCAATACTGTCAAAAACATGACGAACTAACTCTTTAAAAGACCTCTACAGAGATCCGCTAACATCTTATTGCCTGTTCAAGACCACCGGTAACGTAAAACGCGTGCAGCAATGGAAAATGCCGTAGAAAAAATGCAGAAAATCGGACAAGGGAGCTTGTCAAAGGAAGGCGACAAGGAAGCCTAGCAAACTCAAAAGATAGTAGCACAAGTGAAAGTTCACATTTTGTCATTACAATCTAGGTACAATCTGAATCTTTTTGAATACGTATGATCTATGAAGGTCATAATCGATTAAGCTGCGATCCAAGCGTTGGGAAAGGAGGGACCTGAAAAAATCGATATATTGATTATTCGAGACTGTTTGGGTCTTAATCGTATGTAAACTTACATTCTTCAATATCTCCAATAATCGCATAGCTTTGTTCACCACATCTGGATTTGCGTGATGTGTCAACTCATTGGCACGTTGTTCCAGTTCTTCACGACTTTTTGGACCATATATAGAATAGTACAGGGTATGCGCAGGATTTCGGAATGGGTCCTGAGTGGATAGTGATAACGGTAGAGCATCGAAGTGCTTGAAAAAGTTGATGAGAGAAGTGCAGAAATTCCATTTGGTTTCCTTGATTGAGGTTTTGGACGAGTTTAGAAGATAGGGAAATAGAAAGATCCTTCAGATTCAGGATAATATTTATCTGATATTATACGGGAATTTTTACACATTAATACTTTTCGACTATGCTTGAGAAGACTGTGCTGTTTTATAATAGGCACTTGTGCATTTATAAATAAATAAACAAATATCCTTCCTGGAATACTTGACTTCCAAAATACTTCTTGACAGTTACCTATCATATTTTACTAGTTATAATTCCATATAGCACAAACGCCCCAAAAATTGAAAAATTACCCAAAAATTACCTGATTATGGCAAGCTATCCGATCGTAAGTCAAATGTAGTGCATCTACAGCCGACGATGTACAAAGCAACCAAGTAATTGCTCGGAGCAGTACTTCTTCTCGATCCGTATCCAGCAATCGAAGAAGACCGCTCACCCCCTTTGAATATGTAAGCGGTTTTTCAGGATTGAAGAATCCCACTGTTACCTTTGCTCCAAGCAGGTACGGGACCATATCGGGACAGCAGCTAAGATTAACAAGTAGCCGCAAAGCATTGATATTGGGTTCTCCGCGTGTCCATAGCCGTGATAGGCAGTGGGGAATGGCGGGCACAAATTGTGGAATCTAAAGAAAAATTTCAAAAAATGAGGGGAACGCCTATGATTCCTGGTAATAATCTATCAATGTTGATCAAAGCCAATTTGGGCTACCTAGAAAGTGACTCGAAATTGGCACACGCAGGTTGGGCTACAGTACATCCCAGTCTACCGTACTTTATATGGCAATCGAAATGAGATGATTGATGGTAGGAAGAGGAGCAAGGAAACAAGTTATAAAAGTGCGAAACCATCCACCAAAGAAGGACAATACTCAAATTGTAAATATTTATCGATTTTGTCGCGGCGTTTGTTTCAAGACGAAGGCAGAGTTCAAAGCGAAAAAAAAAAACATTTTTGCAGATTTAAATCTACCTGTTCTGTGGTGATATTCAATGACAAATTCGTCAGCGCTTGTAAAGCCACAACCACTTCCATTTCATCGTTTGATGTGAGCCGTTGTACTGCATGTGGAATGGCATCGCGTACAATCGGCTGAAGCAAGATTTTCAGCGTTAAATAATTCATCCTAAATACATTTTACTTACATGATTTTCCTTACAAACGGCCATATTGGCCAGACACTGTAACAACATCACCCGGCACGATCTCGACCATCCATGCCGTGGAGAACAAACCATTTCGGTCACTCGTTCCGTAATTCGCAATTCGCGCATAAGTATCTATAAGCAGCGGTTTGTAGTGTTTTCTTGATTAGAGCAAAGGTTTCGTTTCATATCTTGTTTTCACTTTCTTCTTTACGTTCTTTTTCTTTCTTTGTTTCTCATCACATAATAAAACAGGCTCCAGATTTCAAACTTCAAAACCATGTGGTTGATGCTGAGGACTGAAATTGTTAATCAAGACGTTCGTAGTGTGATTTTATATTTTGCACTAGCAATTAGGAATCTAAATTTTTGCAAACCAACAATTACTATCTGCGTAAAATATGCGTGTCAAATCACAACTCATCTTTTTCTTCCCTCCAATGTAATATTTAAAATAATGTCCTATTGAGATAAGTATGAAAACATGAACAGAAGCAAGCTCTGTTTGATGTGAAAAGTCTACTATAACTACTAATAATTTTGAGAAAGCCCACCACAACTTCCAATAGAGTATCATAAAGTTCAAGCAGTTGTTTTAGAGATGATCTGCGACTTCCAAGGTAAATTCGTCTCTGATTTTGAGTCATATCACAAGAAACGTGAGATTTTTCTCATAGGCTGGAATCAATAGAAAAAACTGTCAAGATCAAGTCATTTTTGGAGTTTGGAAAAGATGAGATAGGATATGCGTTTGTTGCGGCATACTTTCTCCACTGGTTACTTTTGAAAAATATTGAAACGTCCACTCCAACTTTTTTATTTGGTAGACAATCTTCGGCTTAAGAAGAGTCACGATTTAAATGCAGCCTATCATTTCCCTGAATGACAAACAAGGAATATCAGAATTTTCAGCTCCTGCTTCTCTCACTCCCACATCAGCAGCGTATTGATCATCCTCTTGTCCCTTGGTTTTGAAATTCTTTGGCGAAAGTAAAAGAATCCGCATTCGTTCGCTAATGCATTCTGCATAAGAATGCCCTCCTTTGTCGAACAGAGTGTTCAGAAAAACTTAGTACACGCGGTTTGAAGTCTGCAGTAGATAAAGTAGAAAACCGTTAATTTTTTAGAGGATTTGGAGGAACTACCAAAGCATAGCTTCAAAAATCGTTATTTGGAACCACTCTAAATCCCTCAAGTTTTTACATCGTATGCGCTTTTAGTCTATCCTCATTTTCTTGCCCCAGGCACATCCATTTAATGAAATTTGATATCTTTCATCTGATGCTTTGTGAAGGGCAGACGCTCGTCAAATACAATTTGAATTTTCCATCAGGTTGCGCGTCATAGCTTTTCTCCATGGAGTTGTGCCCAAAAAGCGAACACTCATTACAAAAAAAAGAAAATCTTGTTCGCCACAATTACAAATAAGCAGTCAGTTCAAGTAAGCGATAAATGGTGAACGATGAAATGAAAAATATAAAGATCGGATTGTAGGGAGGGTGCGAAGGCAGAAAAATTCAAAAAGCAAGAATCTATGAAAAAAAAAAGACTGATCATTTTGTAGGTGTCAGAAGCTGGAAAAACCGTCAGTAAATGTCAGAGAAAAAAAAAGAACTAAAGGTACTTGATTCCGCTGAGAATGGCAGTTGAGGCCCTATTTTGTGAGAGATGATACAACCAGAATTTTGCTAGTTTATATTCTTACTAGCTGGCTTACCCGGCTCCGCCGTATCCGGACCAAACTTGGCACACATACACTTCGGGCCCCGGCGGGTGTCACAGTCCACTTTTCGTTATCGATCGATGTCGATTTTACCGATTTTTATCGATTTTTTTGCAGAGTTCACCTACAGGGCTAGGAGTTGGCACAGGGGGGAAGTGAGCATGGGGATTCCGAATACAATATTAGTTTTCAGAATTATCGATTACTTTTATTGATTTTATCGATTTTTGTAAATTTTGACATGCGAGGCTGGGATTTTGCACAGGGGGTAATCGAGCATGCTGATTACGAACACAATATTAGTTTTCAGGATCGTCCATTACTTTTACCGATTTTATCGATTTTTTTGTAAAGTTTGACCTGCGGGGCTAGGAGTTGGCACAGGGGGGAAGTGAGCTGGGGATTACGAATACAATATTAGTTTTCAAGATCGTCCATTAATTTTATCGATTTTATCGATTTTTTGAAAATTTGAGCTAGGGGGCTGGAATTTGGCACAGAGGTGTAATCGAGCATGCTGATCACCCCCCTTGGGGATGATCAGCATGCTCGATTACCCCCCTGTGCCAACTCCCAGCCCCCTAGCTCAAACTTTGCAAAAAAATCGATAAAATCGATAAAAGTAATAGATAATCCCGAAAACCAATATTCCCCGTAGCTCAAACTTTGCAAAAAAATCGATAAAATCGATAAAAGTAATGGACGATCCTGAAAACCAATATTGTATTCGGAATCCCCATGCTCGATTACCCCCCTGTGCCAACTCCCAGCCCCGTAGGTGAACTCAGCAAAAAAATCGATAAAAATCGATAAAATCGATATCGATCGATGACGAAAAGTAGCCTATGACACCCGCCGGGGCCCGAAGTGTATGTGTGCCAAGTTTGGTCCGGATCGGTTCAGAAATGGAATTTTCTATTCGGAACATACGTACATACATACAGACAGACAAACAGACATTCAGCTTTATATATAAGATTCGTTTGAATTCAGCACGAAACTCAGTGACCTGACAGCCAAGACTATACTCAGGGCTCGGCAAAGATGGCTTATAAGTAAGCTAGGTATTGTTACGGGACCAAAAAAGGGAATATCGTTTGAATGGCCGAAAAAGAGCAGCTCATGTGAGGCGTTTTTTTATTCGACATTTCGTTTTTGGGGTCTTTTACATTTAAGGTTTAGGGTCAAAAGGAACTTCGTAAAATTTTGCGAAAGTCAAGAGGGACTTCGTTTCTCGCATTTTCGGAAAGCCACCTCGTTCCGAGCCTTGACTATACTTTGGTGATCGGAGATTTAGAAAAACTTACTCATTTTTGACATTGGTCCCTGTATCCTTCACATATACTCCGGCCCATATTTATAAAGTGGCTTTGTCAAACACAAATATTCAAAAAAAAACATTTTTTCTTCTCTGGGAAATGACAAGGCCAAAAGAATTGGGGCATTTAGTTTTATGATTATAGATGCTATCGACTCATTTATGGAAGTGTTCACTGTTTCAGAGCCAAAGATTTACAAGACAATAAACTCTTGAATGGGCATCATTATTCTCGTCTACATAATATTCCTATCAATTCTATTTTTGAGAATCGCTTGGGGGATAAATAACATTTTTTGAGTTTTACAATAAAATAATCTTCTCTGTTGTTCTCTTACTCTGCACTTGGGTTTAGATATCATATGCGACATTCCTCGTTTGATGTGAAGTTATGGATAACTGAATTTACAATCAAATCATCTTTCTAAAGTTGCCATAACATAGTTTGAGAAAACTTTCCCTCCAACTCGCCCGTTGACTCGTCAACAAACTTCGGCGAAGCCAGTGCCTATTCAAGAAGAAAATCTAACAATGAGCAAATTTAGCAAACAAGAGATGCTCTCTAGACATGCGAATGTTTTTTCTCCTCATTTTTGAAGAAAGGACCAGTGTTCCGGGTGTTTTTTCGAGTTTCTTTCCCCCTTGGCAGTCTAAGTAATTTTGAGCTTAAGGGAGCTTTTTCACGAGTAAAAACTTTAATTAGTGTCATGCAAAGAAATGTGCAGTTAATTCTAACGGATAACCTGGGGCTTGGCTGATGTTAGTGAAAGGCTCAAGTGGCACGTCCCGTTTGATTAATTAACTGCTTGCCACTGCCATCTATAGTCCCATCAGGAGCAAAAAGCTTTTCTTCTAAGACGAAAAAATTGGGTGCCGGTAAATAGAAACTTCTCTACGATGTAAAAATGGCTGGAGATGCTATTATTGTTGAATACGAAAACTATAAACGGAATATCAAGGGAAAGCGATATAAAAAAAAGTTCGCCTTGATGAGTTGAGCACAATGCTTCTTTCGGATTTCGAATATAGTTTCTGAAGGAAGTTATGGCGCTGCGTAATTTGCGTGATTTGCGTGATTTCGCGGAATCCTTGAATTTCGCGCGATAACCGAAATGCAAGGGAACACCGACATTCTCAGTGGTTTTGCACGCTCTGTAAGCTGTTTTGTAGTTGTAAAAATTCAAAATAATCTGCTCTACATATCCTGGTAGTTAATAATGCACGCCATTACGGTAATAAGACTACGGTCGCTCCCTTATAAGCGAGAAGGTCCTCACCTGATTTGCTGGATATGCCGTAGCATTTGAGAGTACTGTAAGTAGTGGTAGCAGTAGATCGGACGTAGGATCGATAGCTTGTAGTGCATTCAGAACCTGAAACAATTTGAATTATGGTCCTTTATACCAAACTTTCTTCCACACCACGTGCCCCCCCCCCCCTCCCCGGAACCCCTCACATTGCATTAGCCGGCAATATCATCAATCCAGCCGAAGCGTTAAATTGCGCCAATGTAGTGTCATTCACAACTGCAGGAAATGAAAATGGAATAGATTGGTAGCTAGGCTTTGAGCTATGGGCTAGTTGATTTGAAATGCAGGAAAACCTCTTGACGGAAATGACGCCAGATAATATTTTGCTCCCCCCCCCCTCTTCCCACACAAGTTCGAAACGCTAGTGTGCAAATCTCGCAGATTTTCAGAGCTCGCCGTCTTTGTTTACCCTATGCCCGACTAGCAATCGCATCTCATAATTGGATACGAATCTGCCAAGGCAACAAATCAACACATGCGAAAAGTGTACAATGTGCAAATGCAGAACTTGCGCCAAAATTCTTGATATTGGTAAAAGAATCAGAATTTGGAGGTGTTCCACCTCCACGATTTTCCTTCAGTTGTAAGCTAGAAATGTCTCGCCTGATTTTATAATAAAAAATCACAACTCCTAATCTGAGTGCTACTGCAATTTCATTGAAGCTGTTTCTCATGAGTTCCGCCAGAAAAATTTTCTTGGAGTCTTGCGCAGTGCACCCACATCAAAAAAAATTTGTTAATGCACTTTCAATGATTTTTTCAGATTCGACCTTTTGAAATTTTTGACTGGTTTGCGGACTTTTGCAAGGAAGTTTTTTGAAATTGTTTGAACGATTTTTTACGGCAGCTGTATTCTAAATAATTATGCATGAGAAATTTGCGGGGTACGGAAATCTGAAGTTTGAATAGTCAAGCTACAATTTGAGCATTCATGTACATGATTTTACGTGACCGCCTTTTCTCACCCTCTCGTCTCCTCCCACGCCTAACCGCTCCCTTTTCCCTTCTAAACATTTCCTATTACACAGCTCGCAGATTTCATTAGCCGCTCTCACCGCCCCATGGGAATTGTCGAAACCAATGCAATCCATTGATGAGTCATAAATCGCCTTTCAACTATACAGTTGCCAAATCCCCTGATGAGATTGGCATGAAATGAAAAGGGCAAAAAACGCTGAAAACTGGATCTGCACCTGTTTCGCGTCAGTTGCACTCAACAATTTCTGCTGATGATAGAGTCTATCGATGAGTTGTCGAAGTCGTTGTGATCCAAAGAGTTCGGCTGATGGATTGACAGTAATTCGCCATGACGGTTCATTCTCTTCGTCTGGGTCTTTTTGTGGGACTGCCTAAATTCAGAATCATTTTTTAAACCAGTTTCACAGTTCATGGCTTAATGCCTGGACATCAAAAATTAGTGGATCTTTTTTGCAAATAGCAGTGTAATATCGACTTCTCGAGCAGAACCAATCGATATATTGATTGGTGAAGAACATAAAGGAGTCCCTTCCGCTTTTTTATTGAAATTTTCTATGCTAAGAGCTGTGTAACATCGATATTTAGCATGAATATTCATGCACGATGGGAAAGGAATTCCAATTATGCGCTTCTTCGCAGCAAAGAACCCTTGCTATAGAAATTATATTACTTAAGGATTCAGGTGAGAGCACGACAATCCTTTCAACTCTTTTCCCTCGAGTCTAACATTTCCCTCAATTATTTGAGACAATTTAATAGAATGAGGAAGGGTAGCAAAAAGAATTTTGTATATTTTTAGATGTCAAACGACGAAATTAACAAAGAAAATCAGTAATTCATTATTTCTCGAAACAATCAGAAATTGGGCATTTAGAGTCTACAGTCACATTATTGAAAATATCAATTATGGAGTTGTGTTAAATAACGATTCTAGCCATTCTCTGTTTTACAAAGAATTAACAATTTTATCGCTTCTTTAAATTATGAGACTTCGCAGCAGAATACGTGAAGCCAAATCAGTCGATATATTGATTGATAGTAGGCACTAGGGAATTGTTCATTGAGCTGTTGATATTTGAACAAATTTTCCGCTCTTCCGGGGTGGATTTTTTACAAATAATCTATTTCTTATTGTTGGAATTCAAAGCTTAATAATGATTTTTCCACTCCACTTTCTATTCCACTGAATTATAAAATTTATGACAAACAAACAATTCAAAACATCTGCTTGGAATATTCGATTATACACTTTCTCTACCACGGGTTGATTACAACAGCACTTCATCCTACTTTGATGTTTGTCTGCTTTTACTTCATCTAGAAATTTCCCTTCTCCTTCACCCCTCCTCCAGCTTCAAAGACAAATCCGATTGAGCCCAATTTTGCAGTTCAATTGCTCGTGACTAGCACTAGCACCCTGGTTGCTGACAGCAAATGAATAATTATGATGTTGTTCTCAGGTGCCCCTAGCCCGTAATGATTGATGCCGTGCTTAATAACAGCAGTATTTGCGGATTACCGTAAACCGAAATTATCGGATATGAGGGTCGTTGTTGCGTGTTTCATTGCTAGTTGCTAGGTGCATATTCGCATTTGCTTAATGAGCGCTCTTTGAGCAAATAACGCGATATTTGGTGAAAAATGTTGCAGGAAAGAATGGATAATCAATTTAAGCAAAGAGCAGAATTTTATTATTTGTGAATGCAACTTCTATTCGCTGAGTGACATCAAGCAAAAGCAAATATTGAGCAAAAACCATTTATCTGGTCAAGTGCGTTATCTAAATTATATACTTGCAAATGACTTCAGAATGCTGTTAGTGGTCAATTCGGTTCTTTCTTTCGAGGAAAAATTTGTTGACGTAAAAAACATCAGACTTATAGTATTCTGTTGAATTTTGGTACAAAATAGTGAACCACTAATTAAAGGCGCTACATTGCATCCGCGCGCTGGGACCACCACGCGGTTTCCCGCTATTTGCAGATTTTTGAATTGCACTTACGTTTCTTTATATATTAGATAAATCTCTTATTGGGAAAGAATAGCAACTACTAGCAGTTAGAAAGGTTTCAGAGAGATTCGATAAAGCGAACCAAGCTTTAAGAGATGGCTTTCAAGCATTCACAGAGGTTTTTTTATTCAGCTAGGGTTTGAAACAAAAATTCAGGAGCAAATGGCCTCACCAAAAGCTGGAAATTCGTCCTCAGAAATCCCCACATTTGCCAGTAAGCAAAACAATACAGAAACAAGTGCTTCGCAGTTAGAAATCAAGAAAAAAGTGAGAAAATTGCAAACTCCGCCCTCGTTGTCCTACCTTCCTCCCAGATACGCAGCTTTGAGCTAGAAAATTTAAAAATTTTATTGGTAAAAATTACAGTCTTGTATGTGCTCCATTCCCGTAATACTAAATGTAGAATAAAGTAAAAATAAAGTACAGAATACCCATTTTGCTTGAAACCCTATGAAACACTGCTTTTTCTTTTCAATTAATAAGCATGCTCATGAAGGTACGGTAATCTCTTCACAAAACCTTAATTGCGGTTTTAAAGAGGGTATTCAGAGCCAATTCAACATTAGAAAAAGGTCGGACACTTCCTGTTTCTTCCTCTATTTTCGCTAAAACATAGGATTGTTTACAAATTGAATAAACTCCTGGCTGTACAGTAAACGAAATTTTTGGGAAGTAATTTCTCACTGAGAAGATTCGGATTGCGACTCTCCACAACAATATTCCCCATCAAATTCTAAGTTTTAGGTTTTCCATTAACTGTTAGCTAGTGAAAAACATGTAATATGGAGATTACCAACTATTTCTCTTTGAATCATAAATTTCAACTTCGCAAAGCTTTTTGGTGCAAATTCGCATCTATTCAAATCGAAGACGAAAGCAATCGCTCATACGTTGTGCATATGCCTCGAGAATCAAACGGATCCTCGTGAGAATAGTGGAATGAGCGATGAGAACAATACCCGCGAGAGTAATGGAAGTTGAAGAATTCGAATGAGAATGTTGGGGAAAAAAGAATTGATAAGATGAGTTTTATTAAGGTCTTAATTGTGGCAAACTATGCTATTACATAAGTCTTATATGCTTTTTTGACCACTTATTACATTCATACTCTAACTCTATGTTTCAAAGCAACATTCATTTGCCAACAGCGAGCAATTTTCTCAGTTCAGTGAGCATTCTTTGTGTTTTGAACATAGGGTGCGTGACAAGCCATGATTAGTAAAAACTCGCACGTGGTGAAGTTTTAGTCAATTCGTTCGCCTTCCCGATGGTCAGCCGGAAGCTGGAAAAAAGTTTCGGCAGTAAGCTCGTCGAGAATGCGAGAGAAAGCCCGGCAGATGATTCACTCGAGATTTTTTTCTAGGTTTAAAAATAGAAAGCTCAGAATTGGTGCATGGTACGAAATGCTTGAGAGGTCTTCAATCTTCCTGCTCGCAAATTGTAGTGTTCAAATCCTAAGCGCGCAGATTTTAGCTTTTTTGAAAGCTAATTTCATTCTTATGGACGTCACAATTAGAAAACCCACGAATATATTCTAAAATAAACTAAAAATATAAGGCAAAACGAGAAAATGTCAAAGACCGGATTTTCTAAAGAAAGGAAATGCATAAATCGATCCGAAAATGCTTCTCATGTGAAGATTGTTTTCAAATGTTTGAATTTTGAACCCCGGGCTCTTCAGAATATAAATTGGATATAAAACAAAAAATTCAGATTTTCGTCGTTCACAAACTTTAATTTGTCAATATCTAAATCAGGTTGACTAAAAATTAGAGAACATGAAAAGATTTCGAACAAACAGTGCTAGAACTTTAACTCAGCAGAGAATACTTCGGTCATTCTTTCAACAACAAAAAAACCACGTTTCCATTGGGAAAAAGAATAAATTTTTACGACTAAAATTTAGAGTAAAAACGTAACGTAGAAGTTCAAACTAAACACAATTTCTACGTTTTCGCTCATTTATTGGCCTTCCAGACTATTTTCACTAAACTCTAACAGCTGAATGTACCATGATGACATTTAGACCTCGCAACAAATTTGTACAGGCAGATTCCCACGTATTCACCTGGCATAGTTCTTTGGCTAAATAAATATTGGAGGCTTGCATAGCTTTCCTAGCCCCCAAAAAATTGGTTTTTTGTTGGTCATGTGAAAGTGCATGTGATTCCGAAAGAGAATAACTCATTAGCAATGCGGCAGATTGTGTTTTTTTTGCTGACAGCAAAACTAGCCACAGCAAATGAGATGTTAGAAGAGATAATGAGGCCAAAGCAAGAATGATAAATCGTGCTACCGTACCCGAAACGATCAAAAACCTCACCTGAAATCGTCCCAAACGTGGACTGGCAATTTCGACAACAAATCCAGAATGTTGCTGTCCCATGCTGTTATCTATATGTTACTCCAAAATGGGCACATAGAAGTACTGACAGATTCTCTCCCCGAGTTCTGTTCCACCCCGAGCACAGCAAGCTATTGATTCCGAATCCGGTGGTGGAGGGGGGGGGGGTAACACTAACCAAGAGACACGAGACAGGCGAACGCACACACACAACGGGAGAGACACAGCGAAGAGACTCTTGCTCCCGGGGCCCCGCCTTCTCCCTTCTGGATGCGTCGACGTCGTGACAACGGCGGCGGTGGTGGTGACGTGTTACGACGAAGGTGGCACGACTTCTACATCGATCTTTTGTACTAATTCGTGGAACATAACATCTAAATTTTGAAAAGTAGGGCTGGTATAAGTTAGGAGCTCATGCAAAGGTGGGACCGGGACGGGGGGTGGAGGGTGTGAAGGGAGCTGGAATTTGTTACAGCAAAGGAAGGACTGCAGATGAAGGTATAAAGGTAACACCGGCATTTTTCTAACTGAAATTTTTGGTTACGATTTTCACATGACGCTCTGAAGATGCTATAGTACTCAAGACCCCATGACTCCCCAAATCCAAGATTCCTGAAGACCCTTTCCAAGTTCAAAATCCCGAAGATGTTGAAATCCTCTTTATAGGTCAATTTTATTACTTGACGTCCGAACCGCTTAGTTCCACTTATATCTCGAACAACAAACCACTTTGCCCTTTAGACATCCTGAATCAGAGGCACTATTCAAGCACTTGTTGAATGTTTTTCACACTCGCATCCCCCCCCCTCCCCCATCCTCGTGCGGTCAATAATTTTGTGACTTCCTGTGCGATAAAAGTTCACCTGAGGTGCTAGTTTGTTATTTTCGGTTCATTGGAAGGCTGTTCTAGACTTCGATTGTCTGACGACCGGATTTGAACAAAAGGGAAAAAATAATTTAAAGATTGCAAAGTTGAATTCGGAAAATAATGTGCACCAAATTTTTGTTATTTTGCGGGAATTCTGCTGGTATAGGCTTCACAACAAAGGATTCTCAAACGTGGATTTCCCATGCTTATGCTTTCTTTTTTGCATTTTCCTACTGTAAGCCAGGGCAACGATGGCAGAAAAAGTACAAACACAGCGACACAGCCCTGTAGGACACTCAGCTTAAAAATGATGTCAGAGCTAAGTCATGCACTTCCTCTTCCTGTTGCAGGTAGAAGGCTTTCAATAAGAAGGGGCAAACTCAACAAATCACATTATAGTGTAAAGTTTCATATGTTCGACTGAGTGCGAGAGTAGGATTATATTGCAGAAATTCGTTGAAAAGTACGCTGTCAAATTTTTGAGTCCTGTTTGAAACCTGACGCTTCCTAGAATGAAATTGAATACGCGGATATAGAATTATACAATACTTTCCACTGACATTAAAATCAAATGGGTACGATAAGTGCGCCAAGATCATAATTCATGTGAAAGAATATCGTTGCTAAGCTACTTCTCGTCATTTGGAGCTGAATGAGCTCTTGCATCCAAAAGATTTTGAGAGCAAAAACTGAGGACAGCTTTTCTAATATTGATCAAGATCAAAGAGATGTAAGCCTAGACAATTATCACCTAAAATCGTTACCTTCATCGTAAGTCCTACTTTCTCTCAAAATAAATCTTAATTATCTCTGATTAGCTCCCCTCAACTACCAATCTCGTCTTCTTCTGCTCCTCTTCTTTATAACAATCGACTAGGCGATTCCTGTTTCCCCCCGCTCCCCCCTATTGAATAATTGCAGTATTTTGCTGTAGGAACTTTGACGACGCAGTGCAGAATTGATGGTGGTAGCGAACGGGAAGAAATTCTAAAAACTTTTCGAAAGCGTCTGAATCTGATTTTGCTTCTATGTAGTGTGCGGCAAATCCTGACTTCGGGTTCTTTTAGTCATTTTCGAATGTGCTGAATTCAAAATTATGTCTGGTAGCTACTAAATTATCAAAAAAACTTTTTTTTTTGGAAATCATAGAAAACATGTCGTATTCATGCAACTATGTATAGCATCTTTCAAAAAGCAAATTAAGCTGGCTGAGCACTGAAAACAACCTCGGATTTTCTTTTAGACAAATAAATTGGTCAATGGTTTTTATATCACCTATTCTTTTCTAAGATTTTATTGAATATTCAAATTAGTTGCGAAAGCTAATTTATTTCAAATTAGCAATGAAAACAGGGAAAACTATAATTAATCAAATCATAAGTCGTAAAAACTTGTAAATGTTACAACTTCATTCCAGACTTTGGAAAGAGCATAACATTCTATTTACGGCATTTTTTTTGACTTTCTTGAAATGTCTAGTTGAAAATTCTCTACAATTCTAGCAATAATGCAGTCAAGAATGTTCTCATTCCACCTCCTTTTTTAGCTAATTGTAAAATATAGGGCTGCTTCTAAAGTACATATACCCAAGCAATGTTGCAAGCACATAGTGCCCATTATACTTTCATCCAATTTCACTTCATTCCCCCAATGTCCATTTCCGTTGCAGCTTTTTCGTGAGTGTATTTTATAGCACTTGCAGAGAAACTCAATTTGCAAGTGCATAACATTCCGGGGAAAAGGTCGTGAAACTACAACATCATTCTTATGTCGTTACTGACTCAATTTTCACCAAGGAAATGTGAAATTAACGTAACACGAGATTCATAATCGCTATTGGGATTCTCTGGTGACTCACAAAAAGCTATGCTGTTAGTCAGCGACAGAAAAACTATATTCTCAGAGTCGCAACATCGGGGGAGAGTCAGGGAAAAGGAGGGACCAAGGAACAAATCAGAAAGGCCCGAAAAATCTTTTGTGATTCATTTTTCATACAAAAATTAGTTAGCAAATTTCTTTTTGATAATCTCAACAACGCCCTTCTTCTACAACTGAATCATTTGATAGTGCGAATATGTCCGCAATTCTATAAATTTATTTCTGCAAACGATTTAATTTTTCTAAATACCAACTCGTTATTTGTCTCATCGTCTGTTGCAAAACAAGGCAAATTTGTCGAACTTATACGTTCGTCGGGTGCTTCACTGAATGCATGAATAAATAAATAATAAACAAATAAAATACCACATTTTCACTTGCTCTGCGTCCACTTTTCAGTAATTTATTTGCTAAACTGTTATAATAATTGAGACACCAAAAAGAAGAGTAGTTGGAACGAAACAGAAATAGGTTATACTTCCTGATAGCATAATTTTTTTCGATACAATTTTGAAGAGTATAAGTGTATAGTAAGATTTTAATCCATTTCTATTTCTATTTCTGTTTCTATTACTAACACTTCTCTAGTCTGTGTGCAATTAGTACAATTTAATATATCTTTCTTCCATTTCTTCAAAATTTCATCTTTTGTCAGATATTAAGGCATTAGGGAGTAGATCAGAAGTACTCGAGATTTGTTCTGACATTAGCAATCTTGCTCAACCCCGACTCTATCGGTACCTAGTACGAATACAATAAGATTATTTCCAATAAAACTTTGATTTCCTCCTTTCTTCACATGTCACTTTCTTTAGCTTCTCTTCAATAATTCAATTTTTGGTGACCATGATTTTTTATTCAGGCTGAATCGACCCATCGTAGCCTGGATTTTTTCACTACGAAATAATGCATTCTGCGTGTGCTTGCGAATAGTAAAGGACATTCTCAACGAGATGATGGCATGCGATGTCTCATCATTCTATGAAACGTATGGAATTTATGCACGAAAAAGGAAGCGCAAAAACATAAAGCTACCTATATCGTATTAAACTATATATGTACATATACCTTATATATCCTATTACCTAGTAACGAAAGCTATCTGACAAAAAGTTCATCCATTTCCGGTGGTACAGGCAAGTAAATTATCGTAGGCTTGCTGATATCCAGTTCAGCAAATGGATTATTTGGCAAACGAGGGGCTTTCTCGATGGTCGGTACCAGTGTAGGCTGGAAACTCGTCAATTTTGGGAAGCATTTACAAAGGAAACTGAAATTACCAAATGAGGTTTCGGCGTGGTTCTCAAATCAGTTTCAAATTTTTCATCGGTTGGGGCTTGTTGTGGCCGTCGAATATGACGAGCGCCTGAAAAATAAACATGTTTTTTACACCTGCTCCAATTTTTTTATTGCCAAAAACACCCACGTATGGTTTCCTTAACCAAAATGGCTGTATCATCAGCCACCGCAATTTCCTGCTTCTCGACCGAATCCGGCTTTAGTGCCAGTTCTTCTCGAAGTTTTTGCCGTTCAACTCGCGTCATTCTTTCTCTGTCCTTTCTGAGATGAAAAAGTCACTGCTGCATTGTTAATGATGTGGCTAAGCATGTCTTGCCTTTTTGGGTCATAGATGTCATTTCGAGTGAGAAAATGCTTGTTCTTCTTACGTCGCGTTTTTCTGAGTATTTGGCGCACAATTTGCAACTGCATCTGGTCCCTTTAATACGAAACTAAAATTTTACATGAAGTTATCCCTTTCCCCTCAAATGGAGTTCTGATTGCCGTTTACGGGATTTCTCGGTAAGTAAGGTAAGTAAGGAAAGTTTTGATCGATTTATTTTATTTAAGAAAATTCTGGAACTCCCATGTGAAGAATGTTATCACTGCAGTTTTGAAAATGAGGTTAAAATATAAATTTCAGTGTACCTTGGTGGAGCACGAGTCGCTATGTCTTCAAAGGGATTTTCTTCTTCAGTCGCTCTACGAACGCCTATAATGATATTAGAAAGGAGGGAAAAAGAATGAGTAAAGGAGAGAAGGGAAATGAAAATGACTGAATAGAAACTAAGGGAAAAGTTTAGGTAATGACTGCAGTATATAATATTAGGTCGTTCCGAAAGTAATGTCGCTTTTTTCAAATAAACGCCACATTTCATGGAATCAAGATTTTCAAGAGATCTCAGGAGTATTCGATACAGCATTTCATTCTCTTTCAAACGTTTGTAACTTTATTGCATAATCTTTAATGAGCCCTCGAGAAAATATCAAAACCTGCGACTCATGCTTTTTGCCATGGTCAAGTTCGGCTATTTTTCTGAGTTTGTGTACCTATTCTCCGAAGAAGTGCAAGTGGCGGGTAGATAGAGCAAATCCTACAGGACACAAAGTAATTTTTTTCGTTTCGTTAGCTTGCTTTTTAAACTTTCTGGAACCAATTTTTCAAAGTCATCAAATTCCATATTTAGTCAACTCAAACGTCACAGAACAACAACGGGCAGCACCTCTGGCGTCATTCGACGCAGCTTTTTCTCCTCTTCCTACCTGCTGTTCTTTGTTTCCGATTCATCAAGTTTTTCGGGATAAAATCATCATAATTCAGGTTTTCCAGGACGCCCCAGGCTGTATCCGGAATTTTCGAAATGCTAATCTTAAGCGGTAAACGCTCATTTGCTTTGTAAAATTAGTGTCAAACCATAATCCATCTTTGTAAGTTTCAAAATCCGAAGATTTACTGGTGTTTGATGCATTTGTGTCTAAGACAAGCCTGCTAAAATTCGGTGGTTCTAACAAAAAATCTACACAAAAATTATGACGAGCTCTGGAAAGTTGAAAAAAGTTGTGCTGTTTCCTGTAGGGTTTGCTGTATCCATCCATTATTTGGATTTCTTCCGAGGGTTATTGTAAAAATTTAGAAAAATTGTGAAACTTGGCCTTCTCAAAAAGCATGGGTCGCAGATTTTGATAATTTTTCTAGAGGTTATTGGATTTTGTGCAGTGATTATGTAGCCATTAGAAAGAGAATGAAATGCTGCATCATATGCTACTGGAATCTCTTACATATCTTTGTTCCACGAGATGTGGTGTACGTTTGAAAAAAGCGACATTACTTTCGAAACGACCTAATAGTATCATTGAGTGAACACAAAAAATTCAAAAGCACATAAGGTAACAAAAGAATACGTTAGAAGCTCTCTTCTTTGTTACATCATTTTTGTTTTCTAATAAGCTCAAATAGTTGAGCAGATAATTCAAGCATAAAATGATGCTACGATAGAATAGATCGAATCTTAGAATCATTAAATGCTTGGAAAGGAGAATTGTATGAATATGGTTAAAAATGAATGAATAGATTTCATTGAGCCGAAAAGCTTACGTCTCTGCAGCCTCCTGATCAGCCTAAAAGGCGATGGCGGTTTTTTCACAACATCACTGATATCAATTTTGGCCTGTTTTTCACCCAGCGGCTTTGCACCAGGATATACATGTTCCGTGGCTGTCATAGTGAGGGCGGATGAAACTAGTGAAGATGGCGAGGGTCCCTTCAGTGACGAAGGGGTCTGTGGAGACCCTCCAGAGGCGGCAACAAACTCTTCAAGTTCGCCAGTGAGAGGTCTCTGCGGTCGATGAGTTTCCGTCGGGGTGAAGTTTTTGCCAGGGGCGATATCATCTAAATGATTTTTTACAAAATTTTTTGCCACAGGTGGAAGAAAATGACAGTTTCACCAGTTTCCAGTGGCAACGATACACTATCCAGCGAAATATCGTCTTCTTCTCTATTCCGAGGCAGATTAGGTGGACGCGGAATGATTTTTCGAGAATCTCCTAGCTTCCCCAGCTCCTTAATATAATTTTTCGTAAATAAAGGTTGCATAAAAATTCTAAAAAAACCTCACCTCTAGAGTAATGCCTCCATATTCCAAATTCGATTGTGCCATCATGTTCAGGTAAATGGCATCGAATGGCTTCAGCTTAGCGCTGTCAAAATAACCATGAGGAAACAAGAACGGCGGATCATCAGCCAAATTCTTAGGGATATTGAGAAATATGAAGACTAATGAAATCACTAGCCGCAATGATAGCATCGATGATGCTGGCGAATGAGGCTAGAACAAAAGAAACACGTTTTTGTTTCCAACTTTCGCTTGCGTAAGCGTGCAGGTGTTTCGCGAAAATCAGAGATGTTTATGGATGGAACAACCAGAAGATGAGATATTGCTAGAGGGCGCTGCAGAGATTCTTAAGATAGAAGAGATTTTAAGGGATCCTATGGAGCTCAGACCCATTCCAAATCATGATCTACTCCCTAAATTGCTTTGAGAAGCGATAATGTCACTTACAGCGAAGAAATTACCAAGCCAGATCTGCAAAAAGGCCACGAAAAAATCATTGTAATTTATAGTTCTAGAAATTGTCACACAACGCTCTAATTTCATAATTTACAGTAGTCTAATTCAAAAATCCACAAATGTCTTAACCCATGTGAGTCTTGACAAAATCAAACTAGAGACCCTGAAAAAACAAAGTCGAATTTCGTCACCTTTACACTTTGCTCTGCAGCCGAATGAATCCGAACTATTCGAACCATTTTGTTTCAATTGCAAGGTACGTTTCGCTTTCATATAGTACGAAAGTGAGTTATTTTCCAGATATGTAATAGAAAACATTTTGCAAAAGCACCTGCCTACAAGAAACGTCTGTCTTCAAAATTAATCCCAGACAATGAAGTTCCTCAAAATTTCCCATGGTCTTTATCTTCATGATTTAAATAGTACAGATGCTCATCCCAGTAATTTTTAGAAATGGTAACGAAAGTGATTACAAAACAATTCTGCTTGTCATGCCATTTCTGGAGAGCCAAAACTACCGCTTTTCCACTATGCTGATGTACAGGCATGTGGCACTTTGCTGCTTAGCAAATGAGAGATAATAGCGGACAGCCTAACTTGTTTATTGGTCAACTAGCAAAATATAAGTTGAGAAAAGGCGCTGGGCTTCAACGGTTTGCCCTTCTCACTTACTCTGTCATTTTCGTGATTGAGCACCTTCAAAGGTGCTTTTCAAATCTACCATTGGTGAATGCAGAGCATAGAAGGAGACATACATCACAAAAGAAAACTCGTTGTTTGCTTGTTTCAATACTAACCCCCGCCATCTTCAAGAAAACTCACCCGAGGTCGTGTTTATTAACCATGAACTCACAAGAATCAAAACAAAAATTCATATGAAACAACAACAAAAACGAATAACAAAACCGGTTTACATATTCTTCACGAAACTATTATTCCATTGCGTGTCCCGCTAAGGTGTGCACATCCAGAAGAATTTGTCTCAAATCTTCTTTAGTGAGATCCTACGGAGAAATTGAACTAATAAATTGAGGAGAGCAGCAGTAAACGCATTACCTCATAAAGTTTCAGATCCTCATCAGCTAATATGGGTAGGAGATCGAGAATAGCAGTAGCATCGTCACACATTCCAAGGTTACGAAGGAGTAAATTGAAAATTTTTGAGTAGTACCGCTCTCGAAGCACCCTCAGTTGTTCTGCTCTCGACCAGTCCTGAACAGCTCCTATACTGCTATCCATAGGATCGTGCTCTGGACGGCTCACCATGTCTGTAGCAGATCTCCAACCAATATGTCGTAAGAAAGCATTTACAGCGTCGAGGGAACGCTAAAAATTAGAGCACTAACTTCTTATCAATTGTAGATAAACAAAAGAAAACATGCTTACTGCTTTGCACGCATCTAGAGCCAGTTTTGAGCGTTCGTGCCGGGACTGATTCCGTTCGAGTCGTGCAGTGCGTTGTGATAATCCTACAAGATCTCCTTGTTGCGACCAGAGATCTCTGCCATGTTCATCATCAGCCACACTTTTCGCTGCCGCTTGTGCTCTTGCACACTCCACACCAAACGTCGTGCAATGCGCTAGAGCGGACTGGAAGTTGAAAGCAAAATGAGAGCTAACATAGATCTAGAGAAGCAAACACTAGGCTCTTACCAAGCAAAGGCAGTGATTATTAAACTCGTCTATGGCTATTCCAGCGGCGTCCTCCATCTTTGATGAATCCGAGTCGTCACGGTTTCGGAGAGATGATGCTAGCCGGTCAACCAGTTTCAGTCTTTCACATTCGTTCACTACAGCGTTGGCTTCTTTTTCGCAATCGATCACTGCAAAAGATTGGTAAAAACTTGAAAATATATATATATAAGAAGCGAAACCCACATAGGTAATTTCTTATCACTGTATTGGCTTCTGCAACAGCATATAGCAGCTTGTCCTCAGAGCTAACAAAAACCCAACGGAGAAAGTCCAGATGATCGACATCTTCCTCGAAAAAATTACATACAATCACAGCTATAAAATATTGAATGGATAATCTGCAAAGCAATCGATTCCAAACTCACCAGCATACGAAATCTGCCAAAGCGGACAGCAAGATCGTCTCCATCAAATCCTGCATCATTCATCGCTTTGATAAAATTTTTGCGATCGCTTTCTTTTGTCACATCTGAAGCGGTGGATACGAGCCAATTCAGGAGAATGCATACACCTACTAGGCATTATGCTCCAAATCTTCGTGAGAGCATCGTCCTTTGGGAGCAGAGACGCATAAAACGGGGTCAAGCCGTATAATTGCCTCTGCAGCATAGCTTCAATCATCCTGCTGAGAAGATCTTTTGCAAATGTTTCCTTGAAAAGACTATCTTAACATATTTCACAAAGCGAAATTCAACTCACATCGTGGTCATACTTCAGAATCCGACAGACGCTGACCACCATACCAAAGAAGCGATAAAGTGGGCTTAGGTTTATCCCAGCCTTGTTATCTGCCTTCTTGCAGTAGGCGTACATCCATTCGACAGCTTCACTCCAAGATTCTCGCATCATGTAATTCATGAGTACGTAGTATGGTGAAGTTTCCACCTAAATGAGACTGGGGAATAGCTGGATTTAGAGTGCATTATCAAAGATACCGTTGTGATAGCCTCGAAGATACCATCAACCGTCGTTGGTGTAAAAACAGGATGGTCAAGACCCAGTGCGTGGTTGAGCCTGTATGATCTCCTTCACTTTTTAGAAACTGCTTGAATGGAATCACCTTCTACTATCAAATTTTGGCCTACTAAATGCAGAATTTGAGAGCAGGAAATGATTCAGTTCAAGGAGAGAAGACGGAGTAGTGAATTCGATTCATCAGTCAAGAAACTACCGCACCACACAAAAAATATTCACAAATTTACAGTCAATCCTTCAATGAAAAACGCATTGAACAAAAAGAGAAGCCAAGAATAATTGTAATGAACGAAGTTTCGGAAAAGACATTATCAAAAAAGTCGGAAAACGAAGTTAAAGACAAATGAATAAAGTTTATTTGACCCACCTAGCTTGTACCGCTGCATTCGCATAGCACCATAAGCGATCTTCTATATTAGTAGCTAGAGGCAGCAAAAATTGCAGCTCTCCCGTTAGTGCAGCGAAAACCATGCGCACACCCATTGTATACTTGGTCTGAAAAATCGTAGCGAGATATAAATAGATTAAATTAAATATGAGATCTCGTAAAAAAATGGGAAAAACTAGACCGCAGTGCCAAACCATGAACATACCTCTGCTATAGCTTTCTTCATTATCTGGAATGTCAGTTTTCTGTAGGACATTTGTGCTTTTTCTCGCGCTGTTAGATCGGCACTGAGGAGAGAGGAATCCGTCAACAAATGTTGAGTTCGGATTAGCAGAGTCATCCATGGCACACCCATGTTGCCAGAAAGCTCCATAGCCTTAACAATGAAGGCAATAACAGCTGCAATTCGCAAACAAAAGGAAAGGGAAGCAGCGGATCTTACATCCTCAAATCTTCCGCATCGTATAAGACTGAATACTATACGAATCAATTTTTCAAAGTTTGGATCATCCGCAGCTTTGAGCATCGAATCAGGATCTGCTGCCAGATTACGCGCAGCCCTCATTCGCTTCATATCCGACCTTCAAAATGACTTCTTGAGTGTGAAGCACGGAATGCAGGACAACGAAACTAGCATCATTATTATACTGAAGTCAACAGTAGAACAAAACCAACGCCTCACTTTGCAGATCCAGCCAATTCATTGATGCTTTCCACTTGACGCGCGAGTTCCGCGAATCCACTGGGTGATATTGCGCTGTCAATGCACCAACGCCACAAGGCCTAGAGAAGACAGTAGATAAAACGATGTTCAAATTAAACAATACATGCATGCTGGAGTCATGGGAGCTCAAACGGAGGAAAACTCACATAGACAAGGCGAAAATCTTGATCATCTGCAAGTAATGAGGATAAGAATGAGTCTCCCTGAAATGGAAAGTGAAAAAAGATTTACTTTGGTGATCAGCCAAAAAAATCTCACTGCTGCTCTATATTCTCGCAAAATGTTGTTCTCGATAACGCATGCGCATACACAACGGTACGCATCAGAAGCATGCTTCTGTTCCTCTTTCGGTACTTCAGATCCAAATTTGTCGAGAGCATTGAGATAATCACGCAGTAGCTGTAAATGGATGGACAGTAGCATAGTTCCTCTGCCTTCACGGAAACTTATGTACTAGCAGTCACAATATAAAGCAAATCAAAAGCGGCAAAACAGAACAAAAAACGAAAAATCAGTTGAAACTTAGAAACAAACCTCCTCCAAAGCCTCCCAAATGTCAAATTCCCCTTCAGAGAGACGTAAGAGCAATGCATGGATGTCTTCATACAGTACCTTGTCAACTACAATATGATATCTCTGATTACCTCATCAAACCATGAGCATCGTTGAAAACAACTAATTTCTCATTAAAGAATTTTGAATTGTAAGGAAACGTCAAATTTGGCAATTCTCTCAGAGTGAATCACAAAAGAGGTAGGAGGAACTCACGGCTATCAAACGAATATTTATCGTAGTCACGACCCGGTGTTGGGACGAAGTTTACTTGATAATGTTGTTGCGGTTGCGTTAGCTGCTTATCCACCCGCATACTAGAATATGTGGATTATAGAAAACAAAAAAGTGATGAAGCAACAAAAATAGTATATAAAACAATGCATTTAGATGAATACGCCAAGAGGGGGGGGGGGAGTGGCATATGAAGAAAATGAAGCATTGTACACAATCAAAATCAATCAAAAACACCATCGAAAAGGAACTCGTTGCTTGAAAAACTGCATAAAATTTTAGACGATCGAATTCAAATTGTTCTGTAATTGCGGCTTGAAATTACTTGGCGCAAAAGCGTCGTATTCAAATGTTTGTTCTGATAAAATTAGTTCCTATAAAGTATCGCTAGGCTGCTGCACATTCTGTCCAATTTTTTTGTTTAGTGTTCAAAGCGTTCTAGATTTTCACACTATCGTATAGACCTCGACAAGATTTGAAAGGAAGCATCAGAATAAGCGCACATCATCAGTCGCTTCGCTCCAATGTGAGCAAGATGGAGAATTCAACGACTTCATACGAGTGGAGGAACGAACGCCTCAATTAGGCCCCGCCTCCGCGGACCACTGGTCCCAACACGGTGCGCAACAGTAGGACGAAAGGACCAGCAGCCCGCGGAGGCGATGCCTAATTGAGGCGTTCGTTCCTCTACCCACTTCATACATGTGGTGTTACAAAGCGTTCCCGCACCGAGTGACAGACCAGAACATACAAGAAAGCTGTTGCGTATTGCAGCAGTTTTTGCGGCTTATATGGAAGTAACCAACCATCAACTTTGTGATTTTATCTCTTCGGCAAATACATATTTGTGGATGGAGGCAAAAAGTGATATTGTACTAGTCGAGCACTGCTTCACACACTGCGGACACGAGGCGGAGCCATCACAGCTGAGGTTGGACCACAGCTCGGAGAAGAACAGGGCAAGTTCTTGAACGACTGGGAATAAGAACGAGGGAATGGGCTCGCACTAGACTGTTTTACTCTAACAGAGACATTAGGTAAATAAAATGTTTATGAGTTCATAAGCAGCAATTTCAACAAATATTCACAAACATCAGCGTAATCTAGTGCCGCCAGGAAAGCTGCATAATTTGGACACAGTTTCTCTCCAGATGCGAGTCGATAAGTACATGGTCACAGACGGCATTTAATTTTTCAGAGCCGCGGAAAATGCCAGCGGCGAAGGATTTACCATAGGTGCAGATTGTTTGAATAAATCTTCATGACTGATGACACTAACACATCCTGGAATGGGTTAGGATATTCAGTACGTCATGGACTGACAGACTGGTGCTTTGGCATGTGCAGCAGGCCATGAAAAGAAACACCACGAAACTGATTAAGAGATGTTACCATCAATGTTTTCTAATCTTTCATCATACGCAAACTCGAACGGACCTCTTCGAACCATTCACGAAGAAGATGAGAGAAATTTGCTCGATAAGAGATCGCCAGCCGTTCACCTTAAAATGCACTTCCGTGCTGAAGTATCTGCGTGATGAAGGCGAGATTGGACTTGCTAGCTATCTTGAGAATCTTGTTCAGTAAGATTCATAACAAGCAAAGCTGAGTTACATCTTTAAACAAGTATCATTCTATAGGAGTGGAAGGACCAATTCGTGGGCAGCTTTGGAAAGAATGGGGTCCTGCGTTAGTACCTCTGTGTTGTGTGACAGGCTCTACAAAACCTCGAAGTGCGACATTATGGAGGGCAAAGCGAACATCAGGATTATAGCTTCGTGCACCTACTCATAACGCTAACTGTAGAGATGGAAGAAGAAAGAGAAACTATGGTATCTGATAATGCTAAACTTTATCAATTCACCCATATGTAAAAATATCAGGTTGCAAGACGAATGGAAGAAGGACGATATAGATTGTGGCAGCACCACAAATCACACAAATCCCACAAATCCGCAATCGAGAAGTATGGACATCAGCAGCACCATGTAGTAACTGGTAATGGGCTGTGGGCAGTAGAAGACAACGGCAAGACATATCTTGTGAAGGAGCAATACTGGCCTTGCTATAAAAAGGGCAGGCAGTGGTATATCAAGTAATTCATTCACTCATCTCAATTCCATTTTTTTATCTGAGCAACCACTGCCCCCGAGGAACATGTTGGGCCTGTCCTTACGCCTACACCTGTGATTGTATAATGGACGTGAAGAGCGGCATAAGTTGCCTGTACATCCATGCAGCAGCTACTTATGTAGCATCAGGTAATTTGATTAACATCGATGACTTCCAAGTTGTCTAGGGGTCTCTCTGGTTCCACTCAAGGGAACTCTTACAGTCACGTCCACTTCCATATTTAGTGAAAAATAGTGCAACATTATATATTAATTATAGAAAAAAGAAGAGATTTTTTCAGGCGAGCATTTCAGAACTGGAATCTCTGGTCGCTCGCTTAGAGCGAGTTATGTCAGGCGCAGCGAATTTTGGCTGAGAACGAAGACATTGCTACTTCTCGCACTCTTTGTGGAGCACGCTGGATACTGTTCGACGACGATTCGCTAGAAGGAAGAGGAGCTCGGTAGACTGCAGTTCCAATCTGACAAAGCGCGCATGTGGGTGAGAGAGACTTGCGGTCAGAGCGTAAAATCGGCATGATTTGAGAAAGGTAAGAGAGGAAAAAAATTCATTTATTCAAAATGTACAAGATAAATTTCCAGGAGAACGCCGACATGGGGAAGAATATAGCATGTTTGCGTACGCTGATATCCGTAGCGAATGGTATCCGTTCAGCGAACCACCTCGAGGCGACGTTGCTTTTTGAGGAGCGAATCTTGTCGATAATGATTAGCGGAGAGGTACGGAAAACTATTTTCAAAATCCAAAGTGACCAAACAGTGATCCTGGAAGTCCAAAGTATCTTCGCGACCACGGCACAAGGTAAGTTTGATCCTTTTTTTTCACATTCTATACCGATTGATCGTGCTTAATTATAAGCAGTCTTCATGACTGTGGTGGCTACCTCTTCAAAGCCTGATTGAAGGACGGAGAAAAATGGAAGGCGGATCGAGCAAGCCTGTGCCTGCAGTTTGGCGACCTCTACGTCATCAAATACGGGTGTAAGGCGCCAGTCGGGAAATCCTTTGATGAAACTCTGCGCCGAAGGGCGACAAGTTCTGTGGACATAAAAAACGTAGCCGGTGGAAGGAAGCTTGTGGGGCAAATCAACGACATCGCAGGAAGACATTAAATGCCCAGTATTTTCTAGTGTTCCACCTTAACATAATAAATTGAGAAGAGTATGGGTTTGAAATGAATGTTAAAACAAATGTAGAAGGCAGGAAAAAAGAAAAATGAAATCTTAGTTCCAAGTCTGATTTCAACTTTGAACCAATCTTCTCGGTACCGTAGCCTTCGCTGTGATGTTGTTGGATATAATATCTGAGGAAAGTCGACTATAGAATCATTAATCACGCTGTAAGAAGCGCAGCATATCGCTTGCTTCGCGCCCAGCTGCGCGCTTTAGTAATTGGTGGGATATGGCTGGCGCCAACGCAAATTTTTGTTTGTATATGCCACCTGTTTTTGCGAGAGGGATTAATGCTACCGAGATGCAAGAACCGCTATACGATGTCATGGCGCTAAATATGATATGAGTGTAACAGCAAAAGCGTTTCTGAGTCATGAGGTCAGCGATAATGCTATTTTATTGTATAGGCTGTATCAGCCGGCATCGGTCCCGCGTCAGTATGACTTGCGAAGACGCACCGTCGCACGCGACATGCCTTAACGCGTAGCAAAGTTCGCACGCGTCATACCGAACCGTCGCAAGTTGCCGCAGGCGCGACGTCGCATGACCGATGCTGGCTTGTACAGCCTATACATATGTGACTGGTTGGGCCTTTTTCGCCGGTATTTGCGAACGAGCCCGATCAAAAAATGCTCGAAGTAAAATTGATCAAGCTATGTGTTGCAAAATAGTATGTAAGTACTATCTCGGATCCCGGTGATTCGAAATTTTTCAAATCACGGGTCACGGTCACGGTTATTCAAAATATTTTGCGCCATGAATCACGGTGCAATTCATTGAATCTCTCAGTTTTCTTGGGTGGAAATCGAAAATTTTCTGCGTACCTGCTAATTTGCTAGCAAAAAATAGAGTGATTCAGTGTGAATTAAATTGAATTAATTTCAATTGAATTAAATTAACTAATTTGATTTGATTTGACTTTATTAATTGATAATAATCATTCATAAATTTGCTCCGTACAGTACGTAAGTTTATTTGTTGCAGGACAAAGCTAATTGTAATTCTGTTCTGACTATTTATTGCTTGTGAAGTATGTGAATCGTCGCAGGACATAAGTTTTACACCTCTTTGTAGCTTATCTTTGCAGGTAATAGTGTGTTTTTGAGAGTCAAATGAAAAAGTATCAGTTATCTTAATGTTCAAAATTTTCGGCTGTCTAAAACTACATTTTTGTCGCCACGGGATCAACTTTGCTGAAAATGATCACTGCCGCAGAAATTCTGCATTCCTTGCTCTTCAATCGAACAAAATTTGAAGGTCGGACATGAGACGAATGAGGACTGCGCGTATCTGCAGGTAGATCCTAATTCGATGCTAAAAACTGCGGATGATTTAAAGAAAAGTATAGCATTTAGCCTTATACAATGTGGAAGATTTGAAGATGTGGTACCTACTGCTTCCACATGTTTATAAGATGCAGTTATCGTTTTCATGTTAAGGCTATGGAGCTTCATGTCAGCTTGGGTGAATGAGAGTCCGAACTCAACGTCCTTGACGTATTTGACATTAGGAAGTATCATTTGGCGTTGATGAATTTTTTGATGTTTCATAGAAGCCGTGAAGTTGGCTATAGTAGTCATATTCATGTACGAATATCGGTAAAGGACACGATGTAAAGGCTCCAGATTTAACTCGAGTAGTTTGAAAAAAAAAACAGGGTCAGAAAGGCAAGGGATTACACATACAATGAATTGAATTAGCTCGATTATGATTATCGACCAAATTGCGTAGATCGTTTCAACTATCAGTTGTATCGTTTCAAAAAGTAGGTGGCATTGCTCGCTAC